GAATGGGAAAGGGAGTAACTGTTCGGGCGGAACAACAGCAATATGATAGTCATGTTATCGTAAAGTTCAATCCTACCGCATATGCCAACTCAAGCAATATGGTCGAGTGGCTTGATGAGCAGCTTATTCCTACCCTCGAAGGTCAGCCAACACTGCTTGCAATTGACCTCTTCTCAGGGCACAAAACGGAGGAGGTACTTGATACCTTTTGTGCTCACAATATTACACTGAGTGTAATACCTGGGGGTTGTACCGGCTTAGTCCAACCCCTTGATACCTCCATTAATCGACTGTTCAAGGACCTATTAAGAGTTAGTTTTATTTATATTATCATAGGAGAAGGAGAGTTAGCTAATATGAATACCAAATAGGAAGCGATGGATCAGCATTTGGGAGAAATAGAAGATGAGGAAGAGAGGATAGTGAGGGAAGGAGGAAGACCCACTGGAAGCATGATTGGCCGTCAAAGAGTTGTGGTTACTTATGCCGTTGGAGAGGTGTGGGAGAGGTTTTCTGGTGAAAGAGCAGAGGTGGTTCGCCATTCTTTTCATGCTGTTGGTCTCTCACTTCCCATTGATGGGAGTGAGGATCATGAATTATCTATTAAAGAATTAGCAAACAATTCTCTTGTAGAAAGGCTTAAAGATTGCAGGGAAGGGGAATCCAAGATAGGAGATCTCAATGTTGAGGATAATGACGATGAAGCTCAAGACTGTATAGAGGATGACAATTTTCACTATGAATAGATGCCAAGAGTCAGTGAAACCTATATTGAGTGATTGACATACTGATCCCTTGGTGAAACATACCCTATTTTAACCGCTCAGCACACCGTCCAATTATTCCAGTTCTTACGGTATCATACAAGTAGAGGTAGGGGGTTAACGAACAGTTAATTTGAGTTGACCTACAAAATAATCCCTGCTTGTGCGAAAATACCCCCCCCCGTGTCTTGTATCATAAATGGAAATATCATACTTGTACTACGCTTGCGCATGCCATACCTTCCTTGGCTGGGGCATCCATGGGGGGCGTTACCGGGTAGCTGAACAAGAGGTCTTTTCGCTCATCGAATAGCCAAAATAACGGTGAAATAATCGCAGAGAAATTCGAAAATGAAGCCTGCCGGTTTATTCTTCCCACTTTTCCACAATTTTGATTGATGAACTGAGTCCCAGGGTCCGGGACTTGGCAAATTTTGGTCCCAATCCTCGACCCAGCAAACGCAGCACTGTACTGCATCATACTCGAGTGCAGTGGACTAGATGGGCACGGAAGGCTTTTCTAGCTGTAGTGAGCTTTTGCGAAGGATCACTCCAGCTCGGCACCTTTATAGAATAAGGGAAATTCGAAAGGTAAGTCAAAAAAAATGAAAGGCAAGTGCGACGGATGGTTAAAACTTTTTGACTTCAATAGCACTCGAGCAACTTACTTGTACAGTCGCACCTGGCTATAGTGAACCTCATTGTAGTGAATCCCTGGCTATAGTAAACCGGGCAGACAGGAAAAACAGGTTTCCACAAATAATATGTTGGCTATAGTGGAAAAAACTCCTATAGTGTAGTGAACGGGAAATAGTGAATATGCAGGGGTATAAAAATCAAAACACAGGTAAATTTCAATGGCTATAAGAAACAAAAGGAGTGAGATTTATGGACTATTCCATTTATGGACAAGTGGAAGTACTCCAATTAAGGGTATGCGGCATCACAATTCTACTCATTCAAGCTATCCCATATCCATCCAGGAAGGATATTGCTCACAAGTTCTGGCTGGAACTGTGGGCCAGGAGACTCAGCCGCTTGTAGACTCTGTGAATGGTCAGGAGGTGGGTCTAGCATGAGAGCGAAGGTGATAGGAGAAAAGCGGAGGAGTTGAGAAGGAGGTTCTGGTGTTGGAGATGGATCAGTGGTGCTTGACAGCCCTGGGATTAACTCTGAAGAAATTGTGCTAGCACTTGCCGGCCGTAAGGAACCAAGTTGAAGCCAATCGTTAAGGGTAACTTGTTTCTTGTTCTTAACTTCATGCTCCTGAAAGCCTTGGTGTATTTTCCGAAGCTGGTGGATTACTATAGGTATCTGTAATAAGGATCCAGAGACAGGAAGCGTATCAGTAGGAAACCTTTGAAGAAGTATAACGATGCTGTTGATATGGGCCTTGGCAAGAGGGATAGAGATTGTCTCAGGTAAATCGTTCCCGGTAATGTGATCAGTAGAGGAATCACTCTCACTACCACTTCTGTGACCTCGATTTTGCAGGTCATGTATGATATTGGTTGTCAATATACTATCCGGACTTGCATCAATGTCTGGGGCGTCTTCATCGTAATCCAAAAATGAGTTCGCTAGTTGCTCTACCTGCTGACTATTGCAGCTAAAGTCAAGAAGAGAGCTGATAGATATCTGAGTTGCTTGTCAGATCTTTTCCATATACTCAGTATAGGAGCCATGCAAACTGCGGTCAATAGCTTCTACCAATCCCACCTTTTGCCAACAATGAAAAATAATACTAGTAGGCAGTTCTTCCCATGTCTCCGATATTATATAAATCACTTATAGCACATCTAGCTTTGGAGCAGCTGTCCCAGTCCTTTCAAAGAAGTCCACTATATGGGTAACATATCGCCGTCAGTAGCCTACCTTTAGGGATCGAATAATTCCAGCATCAAGTGGCTGTAACTAAGCTGTCGTATTCGGAGGCAAATAGAATAGGGTAATATAGTCTAAAACAGGGGGTTTTGGACCAGTATATTCAATTGGTAGCTTTTCTGGAGGCGGGTGGGTTGGTGCATTATCGGTTATCAAGGCAATATGTCTACCTTGAGTCTTCATATCCTTATTGAGCTTTCCTAAAAACTCATACCAGATACCCGAGAGCATCCAGGCCTTCTTATTGGATTTGTATACGATAGGCAAATTGTCGGGATTGATTTTTGCCTTTCGAAAGGCAACAGGAGTTTTGAGTTTGTTGATTAGCCAGGCCCGCCGCTTGTCAGATCCGTCTCAATTGACTGTAACAAATGCAGTAACTCGAGTCTTATTCTTTTTGGCTCCTCTGACCATTTTGCCTTTTCTTGCGATAGTTGAATCTGGCCGCATATTATATCTAGTAATTTATATATTAGTTCCACAATTTTTACATTTTGTCTACAGAATAACTATTAGGTATATAATACTTACTGTAGGGCAAGCTCGTCGCAATTATATATATCCCTTGGAGCAAAATCTTTCAAACTTTCTCTTAACCTAGCCTTCATCTCCGGTATGCCATACACCTCTGCGTTATCTACCTTAGTTTCTCCCTGGGTCTTTACCCTGTGCAATCATGATCCACACCGGTTCTTCAAACCAGCTAACCAACCAGAGGAGAACTCAAATCCTGTGTAATCCTCTCTTTCACTAACTCCCTCATCTTGTAGTGCCACTATCTCTTGAACAAACTTTCTTGCTACAACAAGAATTATATTGTCCATCATAATTACTCTCGCAAGCTGAGCCCGGTAAACCCACTCACTTATGTGAGTCTCCAGGATAGGAAACAGTTGCCTTCGGGCTTTCTTCTTCCAGTTGTTGCTTGCATTTAAATCAATATTTAAATGCTGTTGACTATTTTTTAATATCATCGAGAGCATGGACTTCGAAAGCAGGACACCAGTTATCGGGTCTGCAACCATTTTTATTCCAGTAAGTATCTCATTATCTCACATGCATTTTTCATTAAGTTATTCACATACCTGGAAACAGCTTTGTGAACTCTTCCAAGTTCATTTTCTCATTCTCCTTTGACTCGGTTCTCCTTTTACAAATATCATACTTCTCTAGTATCGTCAAACCTCTTCTCTGCTTGCCTTGCCCTATGGAGCTGCTGTTGGAGCTGGTTGCTTTGTTGCTTGGACTCCCCCGGATCATTGCTAAACCTCTGTGCTCTCCCCTCTTGATGCTTGCGCAAACAGCTGAAAAGAAAAAAAATACCCCTCCTTTACTCTCTTTGGCCATGACCTCTTAGTCATCTTTACTATAATGAATCCCTGGCTATAGTGAACGTGAAGTCTTGTTTTTGTCGTTCGTTATAGCTAGGTGCGACTGTAATTCGGCTTAGGGAGGCATCCTTGGCAGAGGCACGTGAGAAGCGAGTCGGTGCTTTCCGACATACCGGTAGTGCCACCCCACCCCTGTAGGACCCTTGTATGTTTTCCCAAATTTTTCTCTATCATTCCCACTCATCTAACTTTATATAAATTGGTACTACTCGGGAACCTTTTTTTTTTTTCCATACAAGAGAGATATTGAGTATCGCATTTTTGCTACTAAATTTCACTACTCTTTGCTTGACCCACGAATCTCCACCCCCACCCCCCCACTGGCCTCGGTCGCTCTCGCTCTGCATTTTTGCATTTTTATTTTTATTTTTTAGCGAGTCCAGAATTCACCCAAGTATAGAGAGCCTGAAATTCGGACGCATGGCGAATGTTTACCCGGATTTGATTGAGCGGTATAAACTCGAAACCGAATTCTTTCCCGATCATGTCACACACGCGAGATATATGGAGAAAGCGAAAAATTGGGATACGAGAGTGAAGGAGGATTGGAGCAATTGTGGGGAACTCGGCAAGGGAGGTTTTGGTGTCGTGCATAAGCAGGTCCAGAAAAATACGGGTCGCTACCGTGCGGTGAAGACGATTGATAAGAGATTGCCCAACCTCGATTATTCTAGGGAGCTCCTCGCGATGGCCATGTTGGCAAAGGTTCGTCGTCTCGCTCCAGTGGGGCTCTGCCCCGGTTTACCACCCCTCTAGCGTTTTCTTGTTGCGGTCTGATCATCCACTATTTTAGAATCCGTCATTATTCGTGGAATTCCTGGGATGGTTCGAGGAATCCGAGACTCTGTATATTGCGATGGAATATCTCGAGGAAGGCGATCTTAGGAACCATAGCCGCACACCGCTATCGCAGGACACCGTTCGAACGATTTCCGAGCAGTTACTCCAAGGTCTCGAAGTGATGCATCAAGAGGGAATAGCTCATAGGGATTTAAAGCCTGAGGTATAATCCTTACCACCAAGCGCATCGCTTGAAAATATCCAATCACAGGGTACTGGCGAATGCATAGAACATTTTTGTAGTTTCCATGTCTCCGGTCTGGGTCAAACTGGGAGATTTCGGGATATCGAAGTGGATCCCTGCTGAAGCTACCACCACCTTCCACACCCAGGTGTCAACGCCAGTTTACAGCGCTCCCGAAGTACTGGGGTTGGATTCCCATAGCGAAGCCTCGGACTACACGAATTCTGTTGACATTTGGTCGCTCGGATGTGTGATATATGAGTTACTTGTGGGGGAAAGGTTATTCGTCTCTGAGAATCAATTATTCCGCTACTACTTGGGGGGCTGGAAATTTCCCGTAGATAAACTAAAAGAGTTATCACCCCCAACAAACAACGTCGGAATTTCATTACTAAAGTCCATGCTCGCTTTACAACTCGAGAATCGCCCTACCGCGGCGGGTGCACTGGGCCATGTGTGGTTGATGGGCCTTAAGGGTGACAATAAAGCGAGCAGAGAGCACCAGTTTGAAACAACGCGAAGTCGAGACGAGAGCTCCCAGAGTAGGAAGGGCGAAAAGAAACTAGCTATACATGACAAACCTGAGAAAAGGAGAAACTTAAAAAACCCGATTACCCATGACGACACAAAGTACACCCTCGGGGATGCGGCCTTAGCCACGAATCCTGGGTCGCAGAGAGACAGCCACCCTGCTCCCCCGAAATCTGAAATTAGTGGTTTTACGATGACACTACCAGTTATATTCTCAGCTGGAGGCGCACCGATCCAAACGGGGTCCCTTGAATCAGGATCGATGCCTCGTGATTTCCGGGAAACTCATTCCAAGTACCCAACGGGTCAGAGGAAGAGACATATCGGCAGCATTCTACAAACATGTCCACAAAGTAGCACCCCAAATAACAAACACAATCCATACATGATGAGTGTTGCTAACGATAACTGGTCGCCGAATTCTAGACTTCCCCCAAGCGATCTCCTAACGCCGAACCAAACCCTGGAGACAAATGACCAGATGGAACACGCCCCAAAGCTCGATTCCCTCGCCTCCCCTCCCGGTTCGGCTGCAGCAAAATTTGCCCGTCGCTGAACCTGTCCTGCCAGGGACAGCAGCTTCGGGTCATACGGTTCGGAAATTTCCAAGGACGAAGTCTCCCAGAATTCCGCCCCTAACACCTGCGGTAGGGGAGAAGGCAGAAATGAAAACGGCACGAAAATCAATCCAATACAAAGTCCCTACACCGGAGGAAACCCTAATCCTGGAGGGAATCTTGTTGCTGGCTGGAATACTAATTCTGGCTACAGCCCTAAGCGAAACTCTCATCCTGGCTGCAATCCTAACGCTGGTAGGAATCCTAAGCAGAACCCTAGTGCCGCCTGGAGCCCTAACACCGGATGGAATCGAAATCTCGGAAGAACCGGGTACTGTGTAGTCCAAGTTTACTCTGCTAGAAAAGGAACTGAAAACAGGAGGCTAGTCGTTCGACCCTTCTGGGAGGCCTAAGAACAAGAAAGGGCCAGATCCTTCCAGAGGCAGCAACTCCGGCGGCATAGTTTTTGGTTCGACTATCGACGCTTTTGCAACAAAGGGGGTTTTTCCAGTGTTCCCAAACGTCCAGTCCGTCCGTCCTTAGCATCGGACGGGACGGACGCCGGTTCCTGGAACTCTGCCCTGGACGGACGCCCGTTCTGTGGTCCGTCCTAACTTCTGCCCGGGACGGCCGGCCGGGCCCTGGTGAGGCTGGAAGATGCCATTTGTATTAAGACCCCCAGGCCCGGGCGTCAACCCCTCGGACGGCAGTCTTTATCAAAGCCGGACGCCATGCCCTGCCGTCCTGGCCCACCACGCCCGGGATGCCCGGGACGGTTGGGAACACTGCAAGGGGTGTGAGGGAGGTAAGGAGGCTGATTCGGCGTTTAGACCAAAGTCAACCGGCGGTGGAAAGGGCAACTGGCCTACCCTTGTTCTGGAATGCGGTGTCTCTGAAATGATTAAACGGCTTCAAGTTGATGCTAAGTGGTGGCTCAACAACTCCTTCGGGAATGTTAATATTGTCCTTATTTTCTCTGTCAGCACATCAAGTCGAAATATCCACCTCGAGAATGTCTTAAATCACCGGCACTCCAATTGATCACCAGACCAACCTCACACCTCGGCGAAGTTAAGAGAATTACCGGAACCTTGTCCGGAGGTACTAGGGTTTTCGCTCTTTCATTTGTCATGTTTATACTTGGATTTATAAGAGAGGTGGAATGTTCTCGGGCATGTTATGGATAAATGTAGAGAAAGAGACAATTGGAAGTAAAGTCAAGCCATGGGGCACATGGTGGAAGAGGAATCGTTGATTGGAGGAACCACCGGGTAAATACAATGATAGGAGAAACTGAGGCAAGAAAAGAGAAGGGGAAAGTGGGGTATGGCTGATCACACAATATGAAGTGAGGGGAACCAGGGGAGGTTGAGAGGAAAAAAATGAAGGAAGTTCCTGGATGTATATAAGGGCGCAGACTTGCCTACTATGGGGAAGGGGGAGGATGGTTGGGATCGCAATACCGAACCGACGAACAGCTTCCAAGTGCGCAGAAAGATTCAACTCGGTCACATTTTATAAAAGAGAAATGGGAAATGATGCTGGTCGAGAATCGCGCCATTACACGCTCTCATTCAGCAGACTTGGCCACTTGCACTGTGTCCTTTGATATCGCACCGGCCGACCCCCATCAACCCCCCATTGTCAGACCTTCCAGACCCTCCTTCTCTGAACTGTCCATTTCCGACACCTCCAAATCCTCAGTTGCTGATAGTTCCGCACCCTCTGTGGTGGTCACTTTTGAATCCTCTGTTGTAGATTCTTCTGAATCTCCAGCTGTCGACCCTTCTGAATCCTCCGTTGCCGACCCTTCTGAACACTCTGTTGTCGACCCTTCTGAAAGCTCGGTCATTGCCGAAGCTCTGAGACTGGATTTTCAAAAAGTCTTTGCTCGCAAGCCCCGCGAAAATACCTTTGAAGAAGACATTGTATTTACCACTGAAGAGCTCACCTAGTGGGCCAGTGACATCCAGTGTTCCCAAGCGTCCAGTCCGTCCGTTCTTGGCTTCGGACGGGACGGACATCAGTTTCTGGGGCTCTGCCCTGGACGGACACCCGTCCTGTGGTCCGTCCTAACCACTACCCGGGACGGCTGGCCGGGCCCTATAGGTGTCTCACCTGCAAATAGACCTGCAGATGAGAGCCGGGCCCTACAGATGACGGCCGGGCCCTATAGATGACGGCCGGGCCCTATAGATGACGACCGGGCCCTGGTGAGGACGGCCGGAAGATGCCATTTGTATCAAGACTCCCGGGCCCGGGCGTCAACCCCTCGGACGGCGGTCTTTATCAAAGATGGACGCCATGCCCTGCCGTCCTTGCCCACCCTGCCCGGGACGCCCGGGACTACAAGCCCGCCAGGGCCCTGTAGGGCGCCCGGGACGGTTGGGAACACTGGGTTTTTCCAGAGGCCTGGCCAGCCAAGTTGAAGTCGCGTGCACGTGTGGTACTGACTTCCGAGGGCCATTACCATCGGCCATACTCACGCCTTAGGCGGTGTTGGAATGGTCTGATGGATGGGCATTGCCATGGCACCAACGCCGATTGGTTTGGGTTCCCATCCCCTTTCAATTCGAACCCGCCTTGCCACCTAGCTCTTCCGCTGGGTAGGCTTTCGCTGAGGTGGATGGTATTGACAATCCGAGCAAAATGCCGCTCGCGCGTGCATTCCCTAATCACAGATAGTGAGCAATTTCCAGTCGCTGAATGCCCAAACTTTCTTTTATTTTCGATACAGTTGGTCCGATGAATCCAAGCGCCCTCCTCGTCGGTCCTTGGCAAAGGTCCGGGTAGGAGAGACATCACACCGATCGTCCAAAACTTCGCCCGGGATAAACGGACGGGTACTGTAGTGCCTTACAAGTCACAGGACGCACTGTGCGGGGCCTTGCCCGTGATAGGGGAAGGTAGCGAGAGTTGAAGCGGTTCGGACACCTACCTTTACCCTTTTGGCCTCCAGCCTTTTCTAGGAATGGACATCCTATCCTACAGATTCAGACACCCTGCTCGGGGTTCCTGGCGGGCTTGGAATCACCCAGATTACTCCAGGTTTCTCGAGGGATTGTCTGCTTCTTGTGCTGTTTTATTGAGGGGGAATGAAAAGATACCTAACCTACCTGATATCTATCCTGGGCTTAAAGTCCCCTAATCTACCAATTGTTTATCACGCCAGTTCGCCCTTCAGACTTTTTGTGTGGTTTATCAGTGGCGGGGTGGACGGTGAAGGGTTGTGAGGGTGATCGTGAACTCATAAAAACCAGAATGTGAACCCTTATATCGACTCAATTCGCTACAGCTTAGAGCGAGAGCCATAATAGACAATAAATAAAAATTTCCTAGTTCAGCACAGCCTTCCGGGTTGCAAGAATCCAACCTCCCGTTCCCATTCCTGTTTTTTCAATTCCTGCCTTGAATGCCGATTAACACCCTCCAAATTCCACCCTCCACATCAACAGCATTCCCATACCAATTCCAACCATCACATATACAAGAATGATGCCAACATACTCGTTCCATACAACACTCAGCCATGATTGGTTTTCGAGTGATTTCTCGTGACGGGGAACCAAGACGCCAGCGGGGGGGAGGGGGGTTCGCTAAGTTGGTATTGCGGTGAGGTGATCCTATCGTACATCCCGAATTATCGCTTTCTCCATAGAATGCGCACTCATCACGATGAGTGGAGGGGTAGCTCAAAAAAAAGGGGGGCTCTGCGGCAAATGGCCCGAAGGATCTAGGCCGGTGTTGTCAAGGGAGGCTGTGGGGATGCCCGGGAATTCTGATATGTTGCCCTGTGAATAGTTCCCTTCAACAGTTCACCTGTTTACCAAATTTTTCTCCTCCATTGCGATAGGGAATGACCCCGATGTTCATTCAGGTTGGGGGCATATCAAGAATTCACCATATGACCCCGCCCCGCTCAACATAGGGGACGCGTCTGTAATCCCCGGGGAAATTGCTCCTAGGCCTGATAGCGGGGGACTCACCCGAGCCTGATATTCTGCAGAGGGCAATCCAGTTGGACCCCCAGCATGGCCCTAAAGACAAGAGGGATATAAGACTATGGATTAGTTAAATTTTGAGAATCAGGATGGTTTGGATTCCCAACCGCAGCCATACGAAATGAGCAGTAATTTGGAATTGGAAAAATGGATGTGTCTCCACACGCCAGCCGGTCTGTGCAAAAGCTGGGGGAATG